AGAAGAGAATTGCTAATCTGATAGAAATATTTGGGACCAAAAGGATCTCTTTTAATCTAATACTTCGAATATTCTCATCTCCTTATCTTTTTCTTTTCTTCCTTTTTCTATAGATCAGTCTATAGAATAAACATGTTCCCTATTTTTTCTATGGATCGATCCATAAAATGAGTCTCGATACTGTGTTTACACTGCATTATGTTGTTTTCAATAATAATATAAAATATTATAACATAATATTTTTGTAATCTATTATAGTGATATTGCTAAGAACATTGTAACACAGTGTAAAAACTATAAACATAATATTTTAATGAAATTTGTATATGTACTGCATTATAGTGTTTTTCTGATATTGTTGAAAACACTATAATGCAATGTGAAAAAATCATAAACATAATATTTTTACAAAATCTATATGTGAACTGCATTACATTTTTTTGATATTGTCAAAAACATTATGACACAATATAAAAACTATAAACATATTTTTTTACAAAATTTATCCATGTATTGTATTATAGTTTTCCTAATATTATTGAAACTAAAACATCATAACATATAAAAATATTTTAATTAAAAACTAAGGAAAAAAATAGATCGATAACAAATTAGACGAAATAAAGACATTCTTAAAAAATATCTTACAAAGCATTAAGTTCTTGCAGAACAACATTGTACTCTGATAGCGACAAATGACAACAACACATCTGCCAATTCATTATTTAGCAACAAAGAACTGCGTTCAGGCTATACATGCATTACACAAAACCTGCTAAGCCAAACCCAAAATACTGATTTGCAACTTGGAATGCTAAACCACAAATCACCAATGTTTATGGAAGTAGCAAACTATATACCACTACATATAGAACTAGTGCTGCTGGGGAAGGGGTAATTGTGACAGCCCCCCTTATCCATCAATATTAGCATTTGAAGCCATGGCACACAGACAAAACGATAATAAGTACAAGTGCAATAATGATTCCCAAGACGATTAGCTTAACCTTCATGTTCTGAAGCCACATCTTCCTCCTCATCTGTGTTCCATGCTGTCTGAAATCTTGTGCCTGTGATACCACACATCGGAAATCCATGAGAACTGAATCCCCGGCAGAGGAAGCTAACAGATAGTACATGAAGACGCATGAAAAGCATAGCACTCCATTGTACTAATACAGCAAGTTTACTATGACTTTGAGAAGGCAGTGTGTATAGATATGACTTGTATACCTGTGAGCGAAGGTTTTCTGTCTTGTCGACAAGCAACTCAATTTTCTCCCCGCGATCAAGAACCTAGCAAATCAAGAAAGATCGATCAAGGAAACAGCATCAAGAACATCCATCAGCTGTGAAAAAAAACGAGATCTCTATCATTAAATTTATTTATATATAGATGGAAATGGCTAAGCACCTTCTCAATGTTCTCCATCATAACTCCTTTGACTTCAGAAACCTGAGCTTTCACCTTGGCAAGCTTGCTTATCTCTTCAGGGTGGTCAACACAGTACTGCATGTGCTCTTTAAGCTTGGACCTGATATGTTAGTAAAAGCTTCCCTGTTATGTTTACTTATAGAAGATTATACGGATTGATTGAACAATTGAGTCATCATAAAAAGAGTACCCAAACTCGCGGGTGAGGCTGTTGGCTGCAGCAGTTGCAGCTTTTCCGCCTCCATATCTTTTGTTAAAATCCTCCTTCACCCTCTCTAGAAAGGCAATGGGAATTTGCCTGCCAACTGACTCGACAGCAACAACACAATATGCTGGAAAAATTGACTTCCGTTAAGCTCCAGGATAGAACTTTTAAGATTCTAAAGTATTAGGTGTGGAAAAAGATAAAAGTGCCCATAAACAGAAACCTACATGGTCTAGTTTTATAATCTAACATTATATTTACCAGGAAAATAATCATAATGCCTGTAACAGAATGCGCATGGAGCAAACAAATAGCAGTTTACCCTAGATTTTAAACCTCAAATCATCAATTCCCACAAAGGTGTCCAGTGTCCATGCCTCCATAACAATAAATCCAATAATATTAACAATAAACCATACCTGGATATGCTATTATTTCTCACACAACATATTGGTCCTTGTTTCCAGAACCTCCACGAACAGGAAATATACACCAACCCTCCACAATCCCAGTAGTATAGAACATAACGTCTAACAAACAATATGCAACTGTTTCTAACGGCCAAAACAGCATCATTCTTGAATGCCTAACCTATATCCGATGAATCTGATAAGGATGGAATAAAAATATATGAGAGTCCACCAAAGAAACTATTATAATTTATCTAAAGAATGTAACAGGTGATAGAGGATAAATTTGTGAATCATCAAAACTTAAGTTGGCAAAGAATATCTCAGCCTGATGGTAACATTACCGGAGGGCTCACTATTACTGGCAAGAGTAACACAGAAGCGCAAAGGTCATTTAGACTTGCAACTAGGAAAAGGAGAAAATTTCCACCTTCAATGGCAGATGAGAATATTTATGCATGGTTCAAACACGGGCAAATGCAAACATCAATACAACCTTTATATCATGCTTACTAAATAAACATACAGGCTGTCTATTTAATATTATTATTACTCAATTAACTCATCATAACGAGAAACATGAAAATTATACATAACTAGAGGTCAAGAATAAGTTTTTGAAGCAGAATGATACCAAATTAGATGCTTCAACATGGTATAAAGAGCTATAAGAAACACATTTCTACTTTCAGATAAACATGAGGAATGCAATCGAGTCCATCTTCTCTTAATCGTCCAAATTTCTACTGAATTTTCTAAGTCTCCACTGATTTCCTCTTCACTGATGCTTCTGTGTACTTAGGAATCTCAACAAAGGAAGAAAAAGAAAGACAAATGACTATCACATGTTGAATTGAACTTATTGATGCCGATAGAACATGTAGCAAAAGAACATCCTAACTCAAGCCAACATATCAGATCTGTAGAGGAACAATCATCTCCCACTCTATTCGCTCTTTCCACTCAAAGCTATCACCCCATATCGATCGCAACCAGAACTTACAAGAAACCCATCCTTCAAACGAGAACAATCCACCTAACTGCTCCAGGAACATCACGATCCATCAACAAAATCAACCGAGAATCAAACCCTAGCCTAACGAAAGACCCCAGATTCGCCCTCAAATCAATCAGAACAACAACCGTCCAGACCAAACCCATCAATCGAACGCGAAAAACGAACACGACGTCAACAAATCTAATCCAGCACGAAACCCCTCAATACTCCTGATCTGGAAGCAGAGCACTCACTGTAACCGTCCTCGACGAGGTAATTGAAGGTGTGGCCGTCGCAGTTGTAGGTGAACTTGTTGTTGCTAGCGGGGAGCTTCTGCAGGCACTGAGCAGCGATGCTGTTGAAGTTACCCGAGAACTCCGTGAACTCCGCCAGAACCACCGTTCCCCGCGCGACGAAGCTGTAGATCAACGACTGCTGTCCCATCTCCACGACCCCTAAAGAAACCCTAACCCCAGATCGGTCGAATCAAGACGAGGAGGAAGTGGAGGAGACCGCGATCTCCACCAAGGTAGAAGAGGCGAAAAGTGCCTCCGCTTCCTTGTCGTTTCTTGTAAGGGGGGCAATGGTATGCATGACGACTTTATCCATCTAATCATGGAGTAGTCCACTATTTTTGGTCTTTTGGAGGGTAAAAATAAAAAGTTGCCAAATATGCTCTTTCTTTAGAAAGCCCTTCTTATTTTTACATATTTCATAAAAAGCCATCTTAGATACATTTGTTTCCCCTAAGTATATAACCTAAAACAATTTTTAGATTTTAAATAGTGTTTGTAATTGAAAAGATAATAGCTCTTTAATCTCCTACTAAATTTTGTTAATATTTCTAAATTATTCTTATTATTTGTCTTCTTATTTTTCTTTTCTACCTCTTCTTCCAGTAATAGAAAATAAGATGAAATAAGAGGTAAGAGAAAGAAAAAATTTTAAATAATAAAATAATAAATAATATTATAAATAGTAAGCTTTGTCTCTTTTATTTTTATTTTTTTATTATGTAATTCCTTACTCCAAGCCTACTTATTGACTTGTTTAATTATCTTTATTTTTCATCATATTTTATTAAATATTATTATATTATAATTTTTTTTATAATTAGTTATCTTTATTATCTCGATGTATATTCTTTCAAAAGTTATATTGGGATCTTTGTACTTATGAAAATAAAATATTTAATCTTATTTCTTTAATATAATCTTTTTTAATTTATTTTTAACTTTATAAAATTATCTTTTTAATCTTATATAGGAATGTCAAAATATAAGGATATTAATATAATTTTTAAAAATATAGATATAGAGATATAAATGTAACTAATTACAAGGATAATCTATAATTAGCTTGTATTTTGATGATTTTGAATTATAGATTGGAAATCTATTCTACATAGTTTTATCTACTTAAATGTTTATAAGAACTTGATCGAAAATTACTATTAAATTTGCTTCTAATAAATAAGCACATGAAAATGCTACATAAAGCATAACCAAAATGAAGCAAAGATATTACAAAAAAAAGAAAAGAAAAGAGAAAATTGTTGTCTTCAGTGATTAACAACATCAAATTGTACATGAAAAAGAAAAAAATGAACAATAAACTCATTAAAAATGGACAAAAATAAAATGTAACGTTAAATCACCATCAAAAGGGGAAAAAAAGAGTAAATTTTGGATAAAAAAAAGTCAATAGAAAACAACATTGATGATTCCCCTGCGACTTCGTCCACCTTCAAATCTCTCACGCGCTCCGTCCCTGTACACGTGCGACCATCACCGGCGCCATATCCGCAACCACCCCATCTCTCTCTTTCTCTTCGTGCATGCGTCTTCCAACGTTCTCCTCCTACGACTCTCCCCATTCAAACACTACCACCTGCGGCGGCGGCGGCAGCGGCAGCGGCAGCGGCGGCAGCAGCAGCAGGAGGAAGAGGAGGAGATGACGGTGAAGGGCGGCACGAACAATGCTTGCGCCGCTTGCAAGTACCAGCGCCGCCGATGCCCCTCCGACTGCCCGCTGGCCGCCTACTTCCCCGCCGACCAGCCCAAACAGTTCCAGAACTGCCACCGCCTCTTCGGCGTCAGCAACATCCTCAAGATCATTAACAGGCTCGACCCGCCGCAGAAGGCCGAGGCCATGAAGTCCATCATCTACGAGGCCAACATCCGCGACCGCGACCCCGTCCACGGCTGCCTCGGCGTCATCTGCACCCTCCACCTGCAGATCCAGCACCTGCAGCTGGAGCTCGACACCGCCACCGCTCAGCTCGCGCTCTACCGCCACCACCACCACCAGTCCCTCCAGCTCGCGTCCCCCTTGTCGTCGGGCTCTTCCCCCATCACCGGCACCGCTGCCAACTGCCTACTCTTCGACAACGGCATTTCCATCGTCGAGAGCTGCAGCCGCGCTGACAACAGCGATATCAATACCGTCGGGCCCTTCTGGGCTCATAATTCACATGCTAACAATGACAGCACCGGCAACTCGATCGTCGCAGTCACAGCTGCAGGATTACATGCTCCGTTTGCAGGTGTAATCGAGCACGACTACGATGATATTGCGCCTTACTTCGATACCATTGACGAGGACGGAGCTTACGAATCAAGGTCGATCGAACACAACTGATTCATTGCCTCGATCGATATCATATGATTGGTTTTCTTACTGATGATTCTATTGATCAGCTCGGAGTCTTCGTTGAAGGACACGATGCAGTCGACGATGGAGCATGTCTCGCAAAACGAGCTGAAGAGCGCAGCTGCTTGCTTCACTCTCACCAATGCTGTCAATTAGGTGATCTCGTCTCATCAGTCAAATCTTCCTTGCTAATAATATGCAGCGAAATTTGATGCTTACAAAGGTAGATTACATGAAGCAGAGTTCAAATTTCTGATGAATAACAGGAGCTAGCTACAATGCGTAGCTCGATTGATGAGACTACCATTTCTTTTGTTAGGACATTGTATAGTTCGTGATAATAATTAAACAATTTGGCTACAGTTAATTCACATCTGTTATGCACTATATATCAACTCGAGGAAATATTTGACCATCCATTAATACATCTCATCGCGGGTTTGTAGACTACTTATTTTTGAAAGATAATAAACAAGATTTCCTTTGTGAAATACATGTGATATCTGGACATCAAATGTAAGATATTCATAATAATATTCAAAATCTTTTATGGAAATAAGACTGTATGCTTATGATATCAATCATCATCGGACACGAACAGCTGCTAGCTGTAGAAAATGAAGAAGCATTTGAAATAGAAACATCATGATGTGATGATAATTATGTTCATTAAAGGTTTATACCTTGATCAAAGTTGGAATTATCACCAAACTGTTCAACAGCTCTGTGTAGTGTCCCTGATATGTTTGTTTGTTCTAAAAAAAGGGAAATTTTTTGTTTTGTTTTGTTAATGTAAATTTGAGATGAGGTAACTATGAGATGAATGATTGACACAGTAGTAGCAATGCCATCAACCCATGCATTACTACGAATTCTTTCATCAAATAGAGGTTACATCCAATACAGGAGATTGAAAAGGGTGAGCACTCCACATCCTGTGGAGCTCAGTTGAGATTAGATCTGCAGTTCCATGTCCAATCCAAGAGAGCCTTTAGCTACCATGAAAGCTGCCCCGTGAGAAAGCCTCTGCAGAGCCTCTTCCAAGCCTCTCGGTCTGGTTCTTGTGCTTCTAAGCTTGCCTTTGCTGTCTCAGCTTGACAAGCCTGCAAAGGCTACAAATCCATTAGCTTTCAACACAATATACATGGAATCAGAAGTGCTGTCTTTTGGAGAGCTTGGTTTCAGATCTCATTTTGATGGCTGTGAGACTCTCACCTGAATGAGATTACGCTGGAGGAGGCGATCGAGGAGGTGGCGGAGGATGTCCTTGTTGTACTCAGGATGGCCTTGGATGCCCATCATGTGGTCTCCGTATCTGAACATCTCGACGCCGGTCTTCTCCGAGCAGGCTATCACCTCTGCATAAGGCGGCGGTTGCCACACCTGCGCGGCAAGCAGATCATCGTCAGCATGGAAGGAGGACACTGCTTGCAGGATGGATCGTGCTTCTTCTTCACAGACTTCGTCTCGATGGCACTCGATGATAGGGAGATGCGAGGGGATGTGGAGAGAAGAGAGCAGCTTGTTAGCGGAGGGAGAGAGGTTGATGGAGGTCACTCCGATATCCCATCCCTTCATGGCTCTGCCGGTCTTCCCGCCCAAAGCCCTGCTCAAAATCTGCCCAAGTAGACATCCCTGTCAAAGGATTACTGAAGAACACATTGATCTCAATAATTTTACAAATAGATATAATCTTTTTTAATTAAGGTGTTTGATTATAAAATAAAATAATCTGACTCTGATACTAATTGTAAGCATAAAATTCTAAGCGAAATAAATTTAATGCCAGAATATGAAATCAAATATCCATGAATTAGATATTAGATGTGCATATCTTTCGATACCATTTAAAAATCTTTTCTAATCCGAGAACACATTCTGTAATTCAATCTGCAAACAATAATATTAGAGATTTATAAGATGAAAAAGATTCTCTCTATCCTTCACAAGATTTGTGAAATTAGATTAAAGAGAGATAAAAATAGATTTATAATCTCATGTCATATTGTGTTATTACATGTGTATGTGTATTGATATGTCATATTGTGTTATTACATGTGTATTGATATCTTAAAGGTCCTACCTATTTATAGATGAAATCAGGAGATCTATGATAATTAATTAGGAGAGTACTTCCCATCAAATATATCTCCTAAAGAATATTACTATTATTAAATTTTTTTATTAGTTAATAACCGTAATTAAAATTTAATTAAATTTATAATATATTTTATTCAATTAGATAGTATCATATAATCTAATACAACTCTCTCTCTCTCTCTCTCTCTCTCTCACTCTTATTGCCCAATCACATCAAAGTTTGGTGTCGAAAGTATAATAAAACTGTGATCTCTATTTAAGGAGGAAGAGAACAAACATATCAAGTTGCAAGTACCAGGAAGCTTTAAGCGGAGGGGAAGTTTCTTCCTATAACCCACTTAATGGAGTCCACTAATGAGGTTGCGAAGAGGTCAACCCCGTAAGAAAAGGTCCTCTGCCGACACTAATTGCACTCAAGCTGCATTCGACAGAGGATTGTGATCAGAATATGATGATCACATGCACCTCTCTTCATCTCTGTGAAAGAAGTGATAACGAAGCATGTTCACCAACTGAGACCAAGTGATTTGACGGACACAACATGTGCTGTTCATGCATTGTAATCCCTTCTTCTTCATTCACTTAATCAAATGCATATCAGTTTTAAGATACTCTGATCTATAAAACATTGGTCTTTAACAAAAGAAGTAGAAAACGATTTGGAATGCAGAAACCCAAACCTACAAATCTCTGTTCGTTTAGGTGCAAACTAGGATAACTATACCAAAGTTGATTCCCTTTGACGAAGAAGAGTGTACCTGGTGACCGAAGCAGACACCGAGGACCTTCTTCTTCATGGAGTCGAGTGACCTGAGGAAGGAGACGAGGTCGTTGATCCACCGGTCGTCGCCGTGGGCGTCGCTGCAGCTGCCGGTGATGACGAACCCATCGTACGTGTGCACGTCCGCCATGCACGGCAGCTCGCCATGCATGGCGCGGTAGACGTGCCACGTCTCGTCTTCCTCCCCCAGCAGCCCCATGAACACCTTCAGGTACCCTCCGTAGGCCTGCTTCACGTGCTCGGACTCGTCGGCGCAGAGTAGCACCGCGAACTTCCGCGTCCCCGCCTTCTCCATCCCTCATCCGTTTTCCCCCGTCGTCTCCCTTCTATAAATAGAAGAGATAGAGAGAGGAACAGAGCAATGAGAGGAGATACATAAAGCTCTCATTAACTTTCTTAGAAAAAACTCTTTCACAAAAACAAATTCTCACTCAATTCAAATATTCTCCCTACAATTATCATTTCTTCTACATATGATCACTATCAAATTCCATGATAAGATTGGATCTTCAAGATTTTTCTTCCACACATGATTAAATTTGGTTTACTTCTTCAAGCTCTAAAAGTAATGTTTCAGTCTTGTGCTTCATTAGATGTAGAAGAAATGTCTTTTAGTATTTACCATTGACAACATTATATGCAACAAAACATCTACTTTCTTTTCATTAAGTTAATTGGGACTAGCTGTAATTCATCTGATATATCTTATAAACACATCAAAAAATGCCTGATCCATATAAATCATTCACATAATGTTCAATCCCCCTAACTTAATCAAATGAACTTTCCTTGTTTACCACTGTCATCCAATGAGATCCATAGGCAGAAAAAGAAGAAGGTGTTGAAGCTAAAAGAGTATCCTTATATCTGTGGAGGCAGTGCCCAAGTGCTTGAACCCTTAATTGTTCTTCCAAGGAGGAGCATGCAGAGAATATATGACCAATAATTTTGTTTTGTTTCACCCTTATTGCTTTAGAAAGTTCACCTATAAAAAAATCAGCACTCAAGTCATGTCATCTGGTAGAACAGACCTCTTGCCAAGCATCACTTCCCTATTCAAACATCAATGACAGTACTCCTTATCAGAACATCATGTGTAGAATCCTTACCCTGTTCTTCATTTGTTTAGATTACTCCTATGGATGATTAGATGCTAAAAAGATGCAGTAATCCAGCCATGGATGTTAAGCATGAGAGGGTGCAGGTGTAGTAGCTGTTGTGGTCTTTCAAGTGGCCCACTCAAGTACTATAATAGGATTTGCTATTGAGTGGAGGAATTGTGTTTTACATAAATGCAGACAAAACTAAATGCATCAACTTTTATCTACAGCTGCATTGTGCCTCAAAATGACACAATCTGAGACTCTTTTTGAGTCCAAGATTGAGCTTTGCAGTTGAGAGGACAAAAACATTACAGATAGCTTTGATCACAACATCTGCAGAATTCAGGATATGTTGGCATTTCAGTCATTGCCTAAACAAAAGAAATTTGATCATGAAGTGTGTGTCCTGGGAGACAACTAAATGCCATAGAAGGATTTCATTGCCCCAACCTGAAGTTATCATGAAACAGCTTTACATCATAACAAAAGTTTAGTAGAAAAAAGCATCCTAATGGCCACACCACTCAGAAAATTTCTGTTTTCTAGGCCTCCATCATGTATAATTTTGCCCATGTACCAACTAGTTCAAGCCAGAGACATAACATGGTGGAGTAAGAGGAGAAATCCACAATCTCTGAAGACAAGCATATGTAGTGGAAATCACTGATATCAATGTCCAATCATAGAAGAAAAGATCCAAAACTCATTACACAGAGATGAGGCATGAGGACAGCTTCATCATGGTTGTGTTGTCGGCATAATGGCTTAAAGTGGAAAGATCTTACAGGATCTCATGGAGTTGCTACAAACCTTACTCTTTTAAATTAATGATAGTATTGAGTAGAGATCTCTCATGTTGCAGCCACTGGCACAATAATCACTTGCAAGTTGCAGTTAATAGCTACATTGTGTTTGTCATTTGCCACCACCATTCCAATATTGAAGCAAACAAAAACATTGGAATGAAAAGAAAATTAAAGCAAACAAAAAAGATTTTTCATGTCGGCTGCCAGTAATCCAAGTTGTTCTGTAAGCAAGTTTCACAAACCTTCATTGTCTTTCAGGTCTTTCTTACATGTGCATGCATTGATTGGAAGATCCATTGCCCTTCCTGCAACCAAACTAGTTTATCTGTTATTATGAAAGATCTGATTTGTTCCACAATCAGATCTCTTATCTGAAAAATTCTTGAGATGGTAAAGAAGGTAAGATATAGTTGCGAAAACAATGGAGATTGAATTCAGAATTCTTTCTTGCTTGTTGAGGTGTCAGAAATGAAGAACATCTTTAATACTAAATTAGTCCTTTTATGATTGAATACTCTATGATGGTTATGTGCAATAATTTGCTTTATTGATGTGCTATCATAGTCATTGAGCCTTGTTTATGTATTCCTAACTAGTCGAGGTGTCGTAAACTAAGAACTTTAAATCTCAAAGATATTTGCTTTAAAAGTCTTCCTAATTGATCGAGACTTCTTAAAGTAGGAACTACTTTTTATAAGACTAAAACTTGACTGACTTATTCATGTATGAAGACTCAAAGATGGTTAAGTACAACAATTGTCATCAACCATTGTTGAAGTCTAAACCAGGAACTTCCTTAAGACTAAAACTCAATTAGTTTCTTCATGTATGAAGACTCAAAGATGGTCATGTACAACAATTTGCTTTGGCAATCATAAAGTCTTCCTGATTGGTTTAGGAGACTTAAAACTCAAGAAGCTCATTCATGTATGAAGACTCAAAGATGGTTATGTTCAACAATTTGCTTTGTCAGAATGTGCTATCATAGTCACCAAGGGTTGTTAAAAGATCCAATCAGACAGCACACAGATCACAACCATCCAAAACTCTTCAAATTGGCATTGCCTCTTCTGAATCTGCCATTAGAGTCACCACAAGTTGCCAAAGATTTCCATTCACTTGCATAACACAACCCGATAAGACTCTTTTGCCTTGAAGATGTGCTGCCACTTCCAATGATGTGCATGTCCACCAAGATTACATAGTTGCTAGGGTCTGATGACCTTTGAAGAATCAACCTTTCCATCTCAATCCATAGAGACTGTGTGAAGTTCTAGTACATGAGCATGAAGCACCCATTAATATAAGACTTGTAGCTAAACCAACAGAGAAATAAAAGTGGTACCTAAAAGTTGAAAGAGATTAATAGAAATCAAAGCTCTTAAATGGGTTTTACTTACTAAGAACACTACTTTCTAGGAAGAAGAAGCACTTCCAAGTTCTTAAGAAGATTGAACCAGAGACTTCAATATAGAACATGACACCTAAAAGTCAGAAGTTGATTGGGTGTATTCTATATAACCTCATTGAAGAAGAATGCAAGAGCAAAGAAGACTTCTCCTTGGGAAGTCTGACTCAGTCTCCAAAGCTTACAGGAATTAATCTGAGTTCAAAATTTAATGATTCTTAATCAATTTGATTCTTGCATGTATCCACCTACTCCAAGTAGATATCTTTCATGACCAATTTTGTTTTTGGAAGTTGAAAGTGATCTTTACAATTGAAATGCTGGATGATGAGATGTAAGATTTAGATAATAGAAGAGTTATATCCAAGCTCAGGTAACCTGCAATATCACACATGATACTTGTTTGAATGCGATGCTATCCAGAGCATAATTTAACAGGAGTTTTACTTATGATCCAAGTGTGGAATGTCCAATCAGAATTTATATTTTTTTTGGGCATTGGTAGACTACTCGTAAGAAATTTGGATTTAATACTACGATAAAAAGGAGATATATTGATGCTCAGATCATAGTAGTAGGAAAGTATATATAGTTCATCTTATTATTTTATATTGGTGTATTGATTGATCATCGTATGATACATATCAAACTGTATCGATGTACTGATATATGATATGATGGAATGTATCGAAAAATCAGTATGTACTATTCATATCGATCCCCTATCAAATCGATATGTATCACCTATACTAGATGATATATTACGGTACGATGAATCTATTATATTGTGACCATAAGATCACCTAAATTTCATACAAAAATTTAATATATCTTATTTTACATTATGCAGAAAAAATAGCATTTCCAACCTTAATATTTAATGTCTAAAACTAAGAAGATTTACCAGCCTTTAGCATTACCTCTTTCAAGAAAGAAGACACCCTAGCAAAGTTTTCAAGCATGAATTCCACAAAATCCTCAAATTTTTGTAATATCTTTGGGTAATCACATCAACCGAAATAATCACCTCTAGCCCTTAAAACTCTCTGTTGTTGCAAATTACAAACCATGGCAATGAGCCTGTGAATTTTACAACACCAAAACTTGAACTCATTTCTAAAGTCAACTTAGGCAACTAAGTATAGATGTTAAAAAAATTATAATTATTTTTATTTTGATGGATTATTGCATAATTATTAGGTCATATATTCGACTTCACGTAAACACTACTCATACTCCGATTAGTATAATATTATGGAAAAAATAAAATTGGGCACCTATGAATTATTGATTATATTTCCCATATCACTATCCAAATAATAATCATTGTCCAAAACTCGATTTCAAATTCTTAAGCGGGTTAAATAGATACGGCTACACAAAAAAATCCGACCCGCTATCAGCCCTATGATCATTTATTTCCACCTCTATAGATTTCTTGGGCCTTAAGCTGTCATCATGTGGCCCACTAAAGACATTGTGGGCCAAGTACCACTTAATGTGCCGGTTCGAGTTCGAAACGAACCGGACACGATCGATTCGATCACGGTCGACCCAATCCTATCCGATCTTGATCCAATCCCCCAACACAGGGTTCGTTTGATCGAGCCACACGTCTAATTGGATCTCTTTCAGGATTCAATTCAATCGACGCAAGAAGAATCCATCATATTCCATTCGGTGGCGCATTCTTGCCGATCTGATTCCGCGACCCAATATGATTGGAGGACTTGCTGTCTTGAACTGTGGAATGTGACACACCCTGTCACCAACCCCACAATAATTGCAAACTTTAAGGAATATAATATTTCTTTTTTTGGTCAAAATATTATAATTTTAAAAGATATTTTTAAAAGGGATATTAATATATAAAAATATAAAATATATAAATTTTCTTTATAAAGTTATAAAGAAAAGAAAAAAGGACAGAGAGACTTCTAAACTTAAAATTAAAAGGATGAATACAAAATCACTATTGAAAATATATACTTTCATAAATATATTTCTTATAAATAATGTAGCAGTAAAATGTCAACCAATAATATCAAAAGGATATATATATATATATGTTTTAATTAAATGTCAACCAAAAAAAACAAGAAGACCGAGAGATCACTATTGCCATTCATTTATTTGAGTGGCTTTTGGAGCCACCGAACGGCTCTCTTCTCTGCTCTTCTCCTCTCATCACGCCGCTGCCCTCTCTGCCATCTCAAGAGCCCTTCACATTCCAAGCCCCCTCCTATATACTCTCTGCCTTCATCTCCCTCCTCCTCCTCCCTCTCCGACGACTGCGCAAGGAGAAGGAAGGAGAGAGAGAGATGGCAGTCCAATGGAAGCCGAGTTGTTCTTTGAGGAGCCCACGTGCTCCATTACTGACACCCTCTTCATCGTTTCCATCTTCATCAGCTTCCATGCCGCTCCTCCTGCACATGGAAAAAGGAAGAAGCGGGCTCAGCTATCGCGGCCGCCGCTTCGTCGTCCGATCGAGCAGCGGAGCCGGCAGCGGGAGTCTGGAGAGCGGATGGCAGCGCTGGTGGCGGCCCCCGGAGAAGGGATTGGGGACGTCCGACGTCAGCCTCAGCGATGTCCTCTGGCCCTCGGCAGGTGCGTTCGCAGCGATGGCGTTGCTGGGGAGGTTGGATCAGGTGGTGGCTTCCCGGGGCCTGTCCTTCACCATTGCTCCTCTGGGGGCTGTGTGTGCCGTGCTGTTCACTAACCCTAATGCTCCTGCTGCCCAGGTTCGAACACCTCTTGCTCTTGCTCAGTCACTTATGTTGCAGATTATTGGCATACAACAGAGTTCTGTGCTGTTGGAGGAGGTGGAACCTACTTGGCGTAAAACTAATTCCTTGGGTTCTCATGATCACGAGTGAAATTTGCTTCTCAATTTCCAATATGTTCTATGGAGGAACACCATGAACTGGATCACAAATGAATAATTGGAAGCCCAAGTAGCAAGATGCTTGGATAGGGAATCAGCAAAGAATTGACAATGGATGTTTGTGTTGTCTACAAAATGTAGAGTAAATAAACAGAAGCACATTCTGAAACTAATAGAGAACTTGATAATCTGGTGTTTTGTAGATAAGGATTGAACAATATTTGAAAGAGGGATTTCTAGTTTTTCTTCTTGTTGTTAACAGAAACTGTGCAAATTTCCTAACCTATTTTAATGTAAGATATCCACTAGTGTATTAGCTTATTGAGAATGTGCTAAATCTCATGAAAACATTTGGCCAACAGAGAAGATTTCTAAAATAGGATGTAAACCACTGGCTTGAATGGAGTGATTTCCACCCAAAAATAATCAAGAGGACTTGTAGAAACGTAGGAAGGAGCTTCATTTTACATATTTTGTTACAGATTAAAACATGATTACTGGAAGATTGCATTTCAGACGAAAGTCAAATGTTTTATGGGCCTTTTAGGAGATATATATAGGAGTTATTATCAACTGCAGTAATTTGCATGTGAGATGAGGTTATGTAGAATTTGTAGCTCCAGCTCTTGGCTATAAATTTCTGGGATTTTGACTTCCCTATTTGTCTTTCAGAAACAACAACTTTGATAAATTTAGTACCTAAAAGTGATGCAGGGCAAATTTAGTCCTTGGAGGATCACTGAATTTTGCTAAAATTTTAGATTGCAATGAGGTCTATCACAAAAGCCATAAATATGTAGTCAATTATTGCATTAGATTTTAAAAAAAGTGTAAAAGAAATTAATAGAAATCCTGAAGGAGGGATTTAAGCTTTTGTGAGTAATCTTAAGGTGTCACCTTAACTTGAAAGATTAAAATACTAGCTTATAGGCTGAGTAATTCTCGTCGATGTAGAATTAATTACTCTCGTTGTTGTCAATAGTGAATAAGATTATTTCTAGATTTTAGTTTAGCAACATCAGTTAAATTTAGAAGTAAAATTATACATTCCAGCAAAATAAAGTTTAACTTGTTATTGTTCAATGGGTTGAGTAAAAACATATCTGAAACCATGGTTTTAAATCTTGATAATGGACTTGTGCCGATCCCGAGCTGGATCAGTATCAACTGGTATGAATCAGGTATATGTGGGCATGCAGACACATTTTTTTTTGTTGCACATCGTATGTATGGTAGAATTAATTGAAGTTAAAATGAATAGAAGATCCAAGACACTAAAATGGTCATCTTTGTTTCTGAGTTCCTCCTTTATTAGAATAGTAAGTCGATAACTTTTTTCCTTTAAATTGTCTAGCTTTAACATGATTATTCTACTTATCAATTATCATGTGAGAAATACCTGTAAATTTCACAGGAAGTAGATATTCTATTTGTTCTTTAATCACTATATGATGATTAACTCTAACATGAATTCTGGTACAGAAGTACAACGTGTTCGTTGCTCAGATTGGTTGTGCAGCATTTGGGGTACTAGCTCTAGCAATATTTGGGCCAGGATGGTTGGCAAGAGGAGCTGCTCTTGCTGCATCTATGGCATTCATGATTGCGACTGGAACTACCCATCCTCCAGGTAAAACTTTAAAGTGACCATGTGTTCCATATTCCATTTCTGTTGTTACAGAAGTAAGATTGTACCATGTCAGCTTTAACAAACTAGACTTAAGCCTGGTAATCTTGATGCTTAATTTGGCTATGAACAAATTAGGTCAAGTTGTCAACCTATTTCAAACTATTTCCAGCACCCTTTTTATAAAACTAGATATAAAATGTCTCCTTACTGATCAATAGGAATGATCAGGTTTCGAAACAGTAGTTACTGATATGGTTTCTATGGCTCAAACATTGGTCATTCAAATTACAAAGGAGCAACTTTATCATGGTACAAAAAGTTTGTCCTTTAGGAAAGAAAAAGAAAAAAGAATTCTAAAGTCTTCATAAAGTTCAAGAATGAAGGCCTGGGGTAGAATGCTTGCCATTTCGTTGTCTTAGTTTTCATGCTAATTTTAACTCAGATTTGTAACGAATTACTCATGGTAATACATTTATCCAGAATAACTTACTGCATTTAATTATGTTAGTGTTATATATCTTGTCATGATATGAAGTTCACTTCATTTGAAGTATGCTGTATCTTTACTTGCTACTGCACTGGAAAGCTAAGGATCCTCCCTGTTTGTGAAATATACTTACTTATCTATGATTTGTCATTTATTATATCTTGGTAACTGATCTTTTCTTTTTCTACATCTGCTTGGAAATGCAGCTGCCAGCTTGCCTATCTTGTTCATTGATGGTGCCAAGTTCCATCATTTGAACTTTTGGTATGCCTTGTTCCCTGGTGCTGTGGGCTGTGTTTTTCTATGTTTAATTGTGAGTATGTTTCCCCCCCAAGTATTGTATGTTCACAAACAACCTTCTCCAGCCATAAAGTGATTCATTTAACATGTTCTGTTACCTCTGTTGCAGCAAGAGATGGTGACTTTTCTGAAAAGGAACTGCAAATTTTGACAAGAGGGAGTATGCTTTCACAACTCTCGTGTTCAGCCCACAACCCTCCTTGTCATATGTATCTTATCTTTCCCATTGACTTTCTCTGCCATATATCCAATTGAAGTCAATGTTTCTGACATTTTGTGCTCTTTTTTCATCCTCTTTGCCAATGTAAGATGTCAAATTGAAAAATATAATATATCAGGAATAAACTGTCAATCATCCGTGTAAAAGGTTTACAAAGAATTTCATCATCCGAGTGTCAATGTCGGATGAAAAAAATAAAAGATTACGTTATGTTACAGCATAAAATTATATAAGATGTTATGAACATAGATTTAAATTAGTTTCAGTATAGGGCCAGATTGTCATTTGAAAGTGACAATGAATATTTTCTCAAACAATGATTTAAAAAACGTTAGGTATCAAAAGACGTCAAGATTATAAAATGCTTTTGGGTGTTCATACGAGCGAAATGAGATGTTTTAAAATATAAAATATAATTAATAAATATGATTATATAAATAAAAATATAACATTAAATTAAGAATATTTAAAATATCAAATAATATTATCTATTTTTTAATAATAAAAATATTAAAAGATTCAAAACAATAAAATTTATGTCAAATTCAATCATCATCATAATCAATATTGTTATTCTCAAATATATTATTATTCTTCTCATCTTCACGTACAACTTTACGAAAATATGTTTCCTCCTCTTCCACGATACCGAGAGATGATTTTGAGGCTTTTGTACTTATTTTTTCTTTCATCATTTATTTTGTAAATATTTGTAATTCTTCCATACTAGAGGCTCTTACCACATCTTGCTATATCAAGTTGTATCTTCAAATACAAGCTCGTTTTTGACATAGATTGAATCAATGTTATTTTATAAATCGAGCAATGCTTGATTATACTTTATATAAATAAAATCATATAATTATTAATACTCTAATCGATTTTTTTTCTTTTTGTATGAATATATCCTATCATATAAATTGAAAATATATTAATATATTTATCTAAAAAAATTAATTAAAATAAAAATATTATATGATCTTTATATGCTCAAAAATACTTCAATTTCGCTCATAACTCGTAGTACTATATGTCAAATTAAAAATCTTGATAGCCAATTGCTGTAAAATTTCTAAATAGACTCTATCATAGAGTTGTAAAATTTATTTTATTATTAATAATAATATACTATATATAAAATTAATTATATAAATTTATTAATACCTAGGGATGTAGTTGTCTTAGATTGAACGGCCATTAGAATTCCAAAAAAACTATCAACATTCTTATATAAGAATAATGCGTATGATTTTATCTTGCACCTCAAGACTTAGAACTAATATTATAATGTATCTTGCATCTCAAGGCATGAAACTAATCTTGCAATGCATTGATATAACCCATTTATAACTTTTGCATCACCACAAGGCATAGAACTAATCTTACAATATATTGATATGACCCATTTATAACTTTTGTATCAAACTCAATAGACGTGTTCTTATAAATGAATTTTGGATACTTAATGGGCGATGAAATTGATAATTTCATTTTTCATCAAATGATCGTAAATATTTTCTTATATTTTTCTTCATTTTCATTAAAATTTTTTTTGAATTATCTCCTTTGCTTTATCTATAGCCTCGTAAATATATCACATTACAAATTTTTTTTCGTCATCTACCAACCGAAGGACTCAAATAAGAGAGCATATTACTATTAATATATAAATCATAAAATTTCAAAAGGATGACAATAAGATGATATCATCGATCTCTTTCCTTTTATCATTTGCTTGTCACCCATTTTTCTAAGGTAAATATATTTTTCAGGTTATGTTTTTACAATATAATGTCAAGAAGTAGCAAATTAGGTAAAATTATGTCTCACCAATTTTTTGTTGTTTATGAATTCTCTCATTATATTCAAAGCTCTTATATAATTATAAAGAAATTCAATGACAAATATTGTACTTTCTAAAGTCTTATTAATTTTAAAATTTTTTTCAATATCCTCTGACATTAAATCAAAATGTGTGGGATATGAAGTCTAATATAAGTTATTTTTTTTTGCTTCAAGTAATTTACCTAAAATATAAGATAACAAAATTGATAAGACTTAAAAGTCATGTAGTTCTTCCATTCAAATTGGAGATAAAAAGTAATTAAAAGATTAAAAATTTTAAAAAATAAATCTTATCAACTAACATATAGTTGTTTCCATTGTCAATTATAATTTGACGATATTTTATTCACCAATTTATTCCATAAATTTACCAAACAACTCATATATTTTTTCTCTAGATTTTATAAAAAATGATACATCTATTCATTTCACATACATGATTCCTAAAGAACAATTAACCATAAAATTAATTATATTCTTATATCTCTTGTGATCCAAGCAACTAGCATAATAGAACAACTATGCCTTATAATTTTTTGTAACCATTTAATAATTTATTTATATAGTTCAACTTTTTTTCAATAATGAAACTCATAACTCAATAACTTGGAGGTTCTAATCTCCCACCATATCTTTCAATAGCTTTAATAATCTCCTTAGAACTGTCTAAGTGATAAGTACTAAGGGAAATGTCAATCTAATAGAAGAAGTGAGTAATGTAATGAATTGTTCTTCCTCTTATTTCCTTATCAGAAGTAGCACTTATATTTATTTATCTTAATTTTACTCTTACTTGCTCTTGTTGTTTTTGTGATCCTTGATATATATATATATATATATATATATATATATATATATATATATATATATATATATATATATATATATAT